TGACCTCAAGTGATCCGCCTGCCTCAGCCTCCCAAAGTGCTGGGATTACAGGCGTGAGCCACCATGCCTGGCCAGACATTTTTCTTAAATAAATACTCCTTGGACTTGGAAAGGCTTTGGTTTATCTGCAGAGCTCTGAAAGAGTCAATGTTGATCATTTTTGGCAGTATTCTCATAGCTTTTATGGAGGAGCAGATTTCCAGAGGTCCTTCCTCTGCCATTCTGGAAGTTTCCTCTCCCCAGTAACATTTCTGGCTGTACCACCTGCTGTTCTCCCAGATCACTCTGCTTCAGCTGCTCTTGCTTCATTATTTCTTGAATGTGCCAGGCAAGCCTCTGTCATGTGACCTTTGCATTGCCTTTACCACTACCTGAAATATTTTCCCCCAGGTGTTTGCCTGGTTTGCATCCTCATCTCCTTTAGGTCTTTGCTCTATATCACCTTCTCAGTGAGGCTTTTACTGACCACTCTTGTTTTTGGACTATCTTATTTAGAATTTCAACCCTTCTAACCCCATGCATTTTAGTCTTCCTTTCACGACCCTACTTTTCTTCCTTTTTTTTTTCCCTTTGAGAGAGACGGAGTGCTCTCTCCTGTTGCCCCGCTGGAGTGCGCGTGGCACGCGATCTCGGGGCTCACTGCAACTTCGCGCCTTCCCCGGGTTCAAGCGATTCCTCCCGATGCCTCAGTCTCCTGAGTAGCTGGGATTACAGGTGTGTGCCACGCACGCCCAGGCTAATTTTTTTGTATTTATAGTAAAGAGATGCGGGTTTCACCCCCAACACATGTTGGCCAGGCTGGTCTTGAAGCTCCTTGACCTCCCAGGTGATCCACCCTGCCTCCAGCGCTCCATAGTGCTGGGGTTACAGGCCCGTCATCCAACCGGTGTCTGGCCTCATTTTTCTCCCTTACCAACTTCCATCCTCCAACCTGTCTAACTGTTTCCCCAACTAGAACCTACAGATGCATGAGCGGCAGGTTTTTCTTTGCTCGGTGTTGGCCTCTGTATTCTCAGTACTAGAATAGTGGCCTGACCTGAGAGTTGATGTCCAGCAGACATTTATTGAATGAATCGAATAAATGAAATGAAATGATGAATAGAAGTAAATAACTCTAAAATTATCAGGGGGTCTAATACAAATGTAATCTGAAATAAC